TATGGAAAGGGGATGGGGAGATAATAAACTTGAGAGTCTTTTCAAAGGACTCCGACAACATGTTTACAGTGCTCACAGAATGGGTAATAGGAATATTCTGGAGAGCTCTGTTTAAATAGCAGAATTCATGGAGTGAAATGTAATTATGTGTATGTATGTGTCTGCACAAATCCTGTGTCCAAACACACATGTGAACACACACATACACACTCTCATCTATTTTCCTGTCCTTTATTAACCTCCAGTTTATATGCAGTGTTCAATCTACCACCTGAAACTCTCACCAGCACTACTTTAATAACAAAAAGCCTGCAAAAACAGATACCTTTTATAGCAGTTATACCTTTTGTTGCTTACACTGACTACGATCCAGTACTAAGATCCTTTGGATGTGAATAGTTTTTCATTTTTCTCCTCAGCCAACCTTCTTGATTCTAACTAAAGCAAGAGGAAAAAAAAAAAAAAAAAAAAGATAGAAAAAAGAAACCCTGATTCACACATTAATTCAGGGACCAGTCTTGAAAATGTTCACAGGAGTAATCCTTCTTCAGATGAATAATCCCTCTGACCACAGCAGACTAATTAACAATAATGCAGATTAAATGTTTCAGGACTGGACCTGCACCCCGATGCTCAGGTTTTCATTCAGAGTACCGTGGATATCTGTCCCCCTCCTTTTGTTGTCTGTATCAGAGGTCCCCACTGCAGCTCTCAGTTATTTCATTTGGTTATGCAGCTAACAGCCCCCACCACATCTGCCTGCACTCTTTGGAAAGCCTACCAAGCTGAGGTAAACAATCCCATTTGAGCGGGACTTCATGGGGTTGAGGCATGTAATAAGGCTGAGAGCTGCATCTGCAGATTGTGATTACAGCATGCATTCTCGCTCTTAATAGTTTCATGTTTTATTAGGAAAACTGCAGTATAATAAGCCAGCAGTGAATCTGGGAGTACATGGGCTGATTTAGCTACCTAGGTCTAAAGGAGGATAAATTTCTCTTTAGAAGCATAATTCACACACACGTTATTTACTTGGAAGAAGAGTGGCCTCCCATTTCTTTGCTATCATTTGGCGAACAGTGGCTCCGTGTGCTCTGTGCCCAGAGTTTTGACGCTGAGCAGAAGCATCCCCCTCTGGCAACCTTTCGCCCTGTTCCTGCCTTTCTTCTTTACCTGCTTGTTTCCTGGAGAATGAAGATATTCGGGACTGATGTATTACTATTCCTCCCTTTCCTGCATCAAACAGTGTTCATTAAAAACTTGCTGCTAGCAAGGGCCTGATCCAGCCCTCCTGGAAGTCATTGGAAAGCTGTCTATTGACGTCATGGGGACGAGGAGCATATTAATGCATGCGAGTACCTTTGCTAATGCGGGCAGTCCTGTTAACAACCCCGAAGTTGTTCACAGGATTAACAGCAATCAATCAAGCCCTTTGAAAGGAACATTAAAAGCCAAAGCCCGGTGCTGCAAAAACCCTTCTTGCAGGAGGTGCGAGCAGACCTGGGCTGGTCCCGGGGCACCGAGCTGCTACAGGCTGGGCAATGTCAATGCATTTCCCAGAGGTGCTGATTTGAGTCGTGTGCTTACAAGGAAGAAAGGATCGCTATTAACCTACCCCAAAAACACAGCATGTGTGTTCCCAAAAAGAGATACTAACCAGAGTGAGGAGTGAAAGCAAATAAGGTTTGTAGATAGGCTTGGTAGGAGGGTGTGTTTTTTTTTTTTTTTTTCCTGCAAGTAAACACACTGAGAAGAAAATAATAATGTAAGAAGAGGGGGTGGGGAGAGAGGGGAGAAGTGCTTCATTTTAGTTCCAAGCAGATAAATGATTTTTACTCTCAGGGAGAGACAGAAGCTTGTTTCAAAATACCTTATCCTTACAAAATTCCAGTGGACTCTCCTGTTTATGGACTGTTGAACTGGACCCAGAGTGATTACACTGGGAACATTTCTCACTTGGGAACTGTTCGGCAAAGGCTGGTTTATAGATAACAATTCCACACTTCTTTCTCCTGTATCTGCTTAAAATCCAGTGCAGCCCCTTGTACATGTGTAAAGGTGCTTATGGAGTAGAGCTAATTTTCATCCACAGCAGCAGCTGTGTTCATCCCGGAGCCCTTGTAGCAATATTTGTGTCCATATTATTTCATCCTGCCACCCCTCACAGCTGTGCCTGTGCACCAGGGGGCTGCACTTGAACAGCATCCATTTCTAAATGACTGTACTGACAGCTCTGTTCAAACAGGGTGCAGACCAGCTCAAAGTTTTAGAAAATAAGGATTGTTATGAAAAGGGTACCCTCAGAGAGCAACAAAACACCTCTTTTCACTGCCATGTTCATCTAATTGGCTTTCACTTGGGATAAGCCCTAACTGCAGTCAGAGTGGCCTGCTCATGGACAAGGTGTTAACAGAGCTGTCCCCATACAGATCCGTGCTGGGTGCTGTTTCACTTTACACGACAGTGGCTATTCCTTCCTTCAAAAAAAAAAAGAAGGTTTTACAAGCGTTCTTCCACTGAGCCTTTCTCGCTCCATTGTGAGTGCAGTTTTAAGGTTCAGAAAAAGTATTTTTAATGTCCTGGTGCAGACTGGGGGGTGCTGGAAGATTTTGTTTTATGTAGGCTTTCTTGTTGTTGCCATTCTTTTATCACAGTCCAAGGCACAAGGAAAGATCTGAAAGCAGGTGAGTCACAGTGCTGGGAATTAGGGAGAGGGGCTGTCTGAAGGGCTTTACCCTCCCGCAGCTCCCAGGCTGACAGATCTCGTCTTTAGCCCTTAAACGCCGTAAGTAAATGTATGGGAAGGGAAGACAGACAGATCCCCCCCTTAGACCCCAATAAATCGCATGTCTGCTCAGACGGCAGACAACGCGCGGAGCCTGCCACCAGCCCGGCATCAGCCGTCTGACAGCAGCTGCCTCCCCATTAGTGCCGAAAGAAATTGAAAAGAGCCCGAAAAGGCAGAGAGAGCTGCCGGGGGACTCTGCGCGGGCGTCGCGCCCAGGTGCGGATCCCGGGGAATAAAAGGGGACCAGCGGCTCCTGGGACCGCGCCCGTCCCCGCCCCGCTGCCCCCACAGCCGCTCTCGCCCAGGGGAGGGGCGCAGCCCGGCACCCCTTCCGAGCCCCAGATCGGTTCGTGCTCACCTCCTGCTTTGAGACGGGGAGGGCTCACAGTCTCAGGAGTTGCTGCGATAGTACGATAGCCGAGCTACATACACTGGGACCCTCTTTTTTTTTTTTTTTTTTTTTTTTTTTTTTGGAGGGGGGGAGGGGGGGAGACGGTCGGGGAGGTGGAGAGAAAGGGGGGAGAAAGAGATCGTGGGGGGACAGGGAAGTAGTACAGTAGGTTGCTGCTCCATTATTAAAGCAAAACTCAAATAAAGTGAAAGCTGACTCTGCTGCTACAAACAGAGCGTTGCCCAGTTCTTTTTTTTCTTTCTTTTTTTTTTTTTTCCTACTCATTATTTTTAAACAAAAATAAAAATAAATTCCAGTCAATAAAACTCGAACGCCGCGAATTGTAACTGATAACCTCCCTCCTCCGTGGCTGCCCCTTCCTTTTACAGCCGCACGTGCTCCCTATGCCCTGCCCGGAGCTCTCGGGGGACTGCCGGCCGGAGGGGTCCCGCTCCCAGCTCGGCCCCAGGGGCCGCCACCGCTTCTGCCGCGGGGAGCAGCCGGCGGCGCCGGGAACAATGGCCCGGAGCCCCCGCGGTGCCTGAAGGCGGCCTGGGGCGGGCGTGGGGCTGGGGGATTGCGACCAGCGCGGCGGTAGTGGGAATAACCTGTCACCGGGGAGCTGCACCCGGAGCGCGGGTCTTGGGGGGGTTCAAGCCAGGTAACTCGCAGGCTGCTCCCGGCTCACTTGCTGGTGCTTCTCCGAGCTTCATCCCTGCCCGGCTCGCACGGGAAAGCCGGGGGGAGAAAAAGGCAGGGAAATTGCTCTGAGCACACGCAGTGCCTTGTTTTGTTACCGTCCGGATTATTGTTATTATTATTTGGGAGACAAGGGAGAGTTGTGTCCTTAATCCGAGCCTCCCTGCCCTCCCCACCCCTGGATGCTAAGAAAGGAGAGCTGATTTCATTTCCACCATACAGTACACTTTGTCTGGAGAGCATTGTCCGGACAAGCAACTCCTGATCCCTGATGACTACAAAATACGATTTATGTTTCCATCAGAGAGAGACAGAATATCCTGATGGCTTGAAAGTCGGGCAAGAAAATCTTATCTAATCAATCCCTTTCCAATACACACATGCACACACACACAGGAGATAACACCCACACTGACTGTACGTAAAATAAATATCGGCAGCATGAAAATTAATGGTCATCTCGCTATTTTTCTCTCTCTCTAAAGACCTACAGCAATACAGTTTGCGCCTTTCCTAGCCTGATGTCATCATAGGCAGTATAATTTTAAAAATAAGAGCATAAAGAGCATGCATTTTTTTTTAGATGCAACAAGAACAGATATAGTAAAGAGAGCTTGTAACATCACAACCACAACAACAATAGCAAAAGCAACCTCTGAGACTGAGGATTCGTCCGTATCTCAACTGCTTTTATTATCAACTGCAAATTCATAATAAGAGTAAATAATAAATAAGACACAGCATCATAATAGGAAGAAGTCAGAACACCTTGGGTTTGTGTTTTTTTTTCCCTCTTAAATGAAAGGCAGATTTCCCGATGATCACTGAAATTATAACGACAGCGATTGATCGGAGGACTTGCAAAAGAAAAGGAAAAAAAAATCATCATCATTGGTCCTAAAAACGCAACCGTTCCCCTTTGCTCACTTGGCACAATAGAAATTGACTGTCTCTCAAAGAGCCATGCGCCTAGTGCTATTTATAGCCGGGGGCTGTGTTGGAAGATACCATTGAGCTTCTCCCAGGCAGACAGACGGGGGGGCTGGTTGGATGGGAGGAGGGGGTTTAGGCAGAGTAGAGGCAAAAGCAATCCCCCACCCCCAGCCTTCCTTCCCCGCACACACACACATCCACACACTCACACCCCACCCCCTAGTCTGGCTGGGAATTTGAACCGATCCAGCCTGTTTAAACGGAAAGGACACAGATCTTCAATGTAAAAAAAAAATCAGATCAGACCCAGAGAGAGAGAGAGACGGAGAGGGAGGAGTGTGTGTGTGTGCGAGTGTGTGTGTGTGTGTGTGAAAGAGGGAGAGGGAGAGCGAGAGAGAGGGAGAGAGAGGGAGAGAGAGAGAGAGAGAGAGGGAGAGAGAGAGAAAAGAAGAGGGGGAAAAAAAGGAAAGAAGATTTTCTCTATGTATATAAAGATGGCCACGTTAGCAAACGGACAACCAGACAATACCAGCCTGAGTAGCAATCACAGCAACCCCAGCACCAACGGGCATATGAACGGATTAAACCATAGTCCCGGAAACCCATCCACCATCCCAATGAAGGACCACGATGCCATTAAGCTCTTTATTGGGCAGATTCCCCGTAACCTGGACGAGAAAGACCTCAAACCGCTCTTCGAGGAGTTCGGGAAGATCTATGAACTGACGGTGCTGAAGGACAGGTTCACTGGCATGCACAAAGGTGAGTTACCTCCTGAACTTTCCCGGGAGAGATCGGGAGAAGAAGGCAGGTTCTCACTCCCTCTCTGGATCTCTCTTTCCTTTCGATTTCATTTTATTTCATTTTTGGCTGGCCGGGGGCGGAGGCGGCAGGCTTGGGGGGCAGGGAAAGAAATAATAGACCCTCCTAGAAAGAGAAGAGAGAGAAGCAGAGAAGGGGGTCAGCTGCCTTTGCCTTGTTTCTTAGTATTTTCATGTCTTTCCCCCTTTTAGAGGGGCAAGATGCTGCCACTTGCGAAAGCCGGAGAGTCCAGGCGAGAGCCGGAACGGGAGGCTGTGTTGGCAGGCAGCTGTCCACACGCTAGTGGTGCTGAAAAAGATTAAGAGGATTTCTTTATTTATCTTTGGGAGCTGCACATTTTCCACTCAAGGGTGTGTGTCCGTCTGTCTGCCCGCGTGTTCCCGCGGAGCTGGGAAGCCCCTATTTTACAACTGTTGTGTATCGGGCACTGGCACCTTTGCATTTTCTTCTTCTCTTTTATTTAATTATTTATTTACTTTTTTTCCTTTTCATTTTTAACTCTGTTAGGATTCTTACTTGTAGTCTGCTCCGAAACTGATGATAGAGGAGAGTGATTTGTCGGGGGTGTGCAGGGGGTGTTCATTTAGGTTTTGTTCAGCATGGGAACAGAGATATAAAAACAATTTAAAAATAAAAATAAAAACATCTCTGAAAGGGAAGAAAGTATAAAATCACAAAGTGAGTATGTGTTGGAGAGGGCAAGCCAGGAGGAGTGGGTTGCAGTTCAGTTCCAGAACGGAGAAGTCTCTGAGCAGGCACATTACTAACACTACTCTAGTGTGCCCAAAGTCCATCCCAGGAACTTTTTGGGTTTGCTTTCAAAACAGTAAGGACGTGCTCTCCATGCAGTGTCTTGCTCTCTCCAGCTTTGCCTGCTCCTTTCCCTGTTTAGTCTCTCCAGTGGTGCATTTCAGATTAGAGGATGCTACATTTTGGGATGGGGGGATGGAGTGTGTAGTGGCAGTGAAGATGCTCAGATCACTGGGTGGGAAAGTAGGACTCACATAGAGGAAGTTAAAGATCATTTGCATGGTAGCATAGCTTAGTAGTGGGAATGTAGCAAGCCACTTTATTAATTCAGGATCTGTATATATAATGCATGTGTGCGTGTGTATGTGCATGTATGTGTGTGTTTATTTCATAAGATATCTCGCTATTTAGGGGGAAAGAATAAAAAAGAAAAAAAAAAAAAAGATCAGAAGTGAGCAGGGTGTGACTCCAGACATAGTGCAGGAGGAAAAACGGTTGTGCAGGGAAACACGGGGCGAGTAGAAGTTGTATCTGTTATGAGAGAGGTTCAGTAGCAACCTCTACTCCAGCCGATTCATTCCTGGCAGGGAGAGTTACGGGGAACGGCATTAGTGGCTTCCCAGCTTTCCAGCTGCCATGGTGAGTTGTAAATCTTAAAACTTAACAGGATGTTTAAGAGGCATATCTTTCCCTTTCCCACTGACTCCCCTCCTCTCCACCTTTAGAAAATGCAAATTAAAATATACCCTGGCAGTTCAAAGTACCAGAGTCACACAGGGTACAGAAACATTCAGGGTTCGAGGATTGGAGACTCAGCACAAGTTATAGGGTATTGCCGGTTGCTCCAAACACCCTTCTCATATTTACAATGATCAGTCTGTCCCTTCTGAACCTAGCTTTCCTTTCAGACTAGCTGCCTAGAAGACACATCAAAGTCTGATGGACATCTTCTAAACATGACATCCAGTCTAGAATAGTTATTAATAATAACATTAAAATAATAGTACAAAGAATAGGGAAGGAAACGTCGGAAATGTCCTGGGAGATTTTGTCTAATAGATGAGGTATAGTGAGTAGCCAGTCAGCCCGTGTGTACGCATGTGTTTGCAAAAATTATCTAAGCTTTCCGTAAAATAAAAAACAACAGCAGTATAAGCTACACTGAAGAGAATCACTTATCACACAGCATAAGATAGATGAAATGTTTGAGATAACATCTAGGTAAAGGTTTTGGTGTTTTTCTTTCTTTTTTTTTTTTTTTTTTTTTTTTTTTTGTAAATGGGGATGTTTTTTTGATTTGTTGATGAGAATTAATTCTTTTGCTTTGTTCTACCTGAAACATACAATTAATCAACAGTAACTTTAATTTCTGTTTCATAGATGGGAATGTTGCTCAGTTTTGCTTTTACTGTATGCCTGTATTCATAAAGACAAACTCAGGAAGCAGGGGGGAGGGAGAGATAGAGAGAGAGGGATCATTTATCTTGCTTGGATATGTTTAACACATATTCCTGAACTAAACAAGATACTAACTTCATTTCCATTCATTTCATTTCTGTTTTAAAGCTGAAAAATAGGAAAAATTCCAGGTGGGATTTCTTGTTACACCGTGAAACCAAAAAGTGTGTGTTTGTCTTGAAAGAAACAGTCATTTTTAACACCCTAGAAGTTTTGGACTTTGGAATGAAAAATGATGATGTTGATTGTTATACCGTAGGTTAGATTTTGAGTGAAGCTTCAATAGACACTGAGTTGCCGACGCTTCAGAGATCGGTTTTATTTAGTAAATCTAAGAAGAGTTTGAACTCCTTTCTAGCAATGCCACTGATTTATTAGCTAATCCTGATAAAAATGTGCCTCTGGCTACCTGGAAAAAAAATTACTTTCTTGCCAGTAGTGATTAATTACTATTAAGTCAAAAGGCATGATGGAGCTTTGAAGGATGAAGATTGTGTTTGGCTTTTTAATTTTATTTTATTTTCTTTCATTTCATTTTTAATCTGTTTTCTTTTTCTTTCCCCTTCTCTAAATTCAGTCATGTGAAACATAGTATTCACTCAGATCTCCCTGTTTTGGCTTTGCTGGAGGCATAGGTGAAGAACTGCACAAAGACAGTCCAACTGGTTCTCAGGGGTAGGATGGCAATATGAAACTCCAAAATGCTTTCCGTAAGTGATGCATCATGTTTGTACATTAATTGATCCATCACTCTCAGTTGATAAAATTCCTTATCCAGAGGATGAAGCTGTGACAGTAATATACTTTGAGGGGTTAACAGTGGGCTTTAGTTTATTTAAGTGTACAGAAAGCAAATCTTGGGTGTGGAGAGGGAGAAGGTGGGTTTTTGTTTCAGGAAGGGAAGAGAAGGGAATTAGCGTAGAGTAAAAACATAGCAACCGGAGTCATTTCAGGTGTAAGTCCACTGAAATGAGAGCATGGGATGTGTACGATTCAAAATATTATGAAGGGATCCTATGGTGAGGCTTCTGTATATCAGAAGGAAATTGAAAATTAAGAACCTGAAGATAAACTACATAACTATCCCTCTTTGCCAAAAGAAAAAAACAAACAAACAAACAAAAAAAAAACCCAAACAAACTGTTAGAAAGGGACAGCGAAGTCCTAGGTGCTCTCACCAGGAGTCTTGTCTGATGCCATGCCAGGTACCAGGGAAGAGGCAGGGGAGCACAATACTCTTGCAGACACACAAATGTAGAAGAGGGTATAGGGGATGCAGCATGTGAGGAAATGTGGAAAAGAATTGCTAGCTCTCTGAGAAAAGAATCTTTCATGGCAACTAGCATTGGTGCTACATATTCCCCCCATCCTCGCTTCTCTCCACACAGGGCAGAAACACACTTCTGCTATGGCACTTTGCTCTAGGGTTGGGAAGAGGCTGTGTGCTAAGATCTGCAGGTAGAGATCTACCGGGGAGAGCTGACCCACCCACGCGCTCACACACACGCACGCGCACGCATGGAGTTAACTAATCACACTCGAACAATTTAGCAAGCCATTCATTCATAACTTCCCCCCTTCTTATCTAGCAGTGGTGTATGCTTAAAGGCTGAGTTACTGGGAGACATAAAGGTTAGTGCTCTCAGGACAGCCATATTATAATGCATTATCTTTGAAGTCATTTAAGGCCAATTTAAATGGTATTTAGTATAATATTTATGAATTAATGTAATCTAAATATAGGACTGTCCCCGTAGGTTTAAACAGCCTTTTCTACTGAAGCATGCTTGTAACCAAGGTCTGAAATGTGTTTTAATTTAAAACACACAGGTCTCCATAATATTCTATTTGGGAAGTCGGAAGAAATCAGCATTGCACACTTAACTGAGATTTACTGAAACATGCGAGTGAGCGCACTTAAAAGAGTGGAGACAGCATACAGTAAGGAAGAAAGCGTCTTTCATGGACCTGAGAGCTGCAATATTCTTTCCAGCCTTGTTTAGAGAGGGGTAAACACAAACCCCTCAAAAACTTCCCCAGCATCCACTATTGCAGTCCTGTGGCTGGTATAGTGTACCTGCCTGACCTGATAAGTATTCAATGCAGCTAGAAAAATGCAGTAGGAAAAGAATAGTTTAGTTCTTTTACCACTATACCTTCTCAAAAGTATAAATAATTTTGGAATTTGAAGTACCTAGGAGGTAGGTAAACAAGGCTTCCATTCATTATATTGTTATGTTTGATTACAAAGAAAGATGATAGAAAGATTAAAACCTTGTTAAGTCTAAGGATGTTTATAAATGTTTTGGATACCGCAGAAATTCAGAAGTGCAATGAAGATGTGCATTCAATTAATATACAAATATACATATATACAAATATATTTGTATAAATGTATGAATTTGTGTGTGTATAAATACAGGGAAAAAAATGATGTATACACATTCATACATATTGCCTTTGAGAAATGGAAATTTAGCTGAAAAGAAACACAACGCAATACAGGTGCTGAATAAACTCCTCCATAATTGAAGCATAAGGCTTGCCTGGCTGAAAGAAATGCATACAGCATTTAGTATGGTAGTAAACCAAACAAGTTTTAGGGAGGTAAATGCACAAATAAACTGGAATAAAACAGAAGGGACTTTATGCCTAAAGAACAACTCCTTAAAATAATCAAAATGCAACTCAAGAGAGAGAGGAAAAATCCCTCTGTACATTATAATCTCCCA